CCCCCCCCCCCCCCCCCCCCCCCCCCCCCCCCCCCCCCCCCGCCTAAACTGCAGCATGGTTATTCCCAGGCTCTGAGCCCATCCCAACTCCTGTGGGGTGATCTGGAACTAGTGAAGTTGAATCAGGCCCCTTAGGCTCTGATAGTCCCCTACCCACAGTATTCATTGTTCAAGTCCCCCTTGCCACCCACAACAAGTCCTGTAGCTGGGGAGTGGGACTGGGCATGCTGGACACTATTGCTGCCCGAGTCACAGACAGGATGTGGAACTTGAAAAGGTCACATGGCCCTGGGGGTTTCTGGGCCAAGACCTCATACGTAATCCCAGTGCGTCCTGTCCTCCCCTCCTCCCTTTCTCTGGGCCTCAGGTTCTCCCTGGTCAATGACTCAGAAGGCTGGCTCTGCATCAAAGAGGTCTCTGGGGAGGTGCACACAGCCCAGTCCTTGCAGGGTGCCTTGCCTGGGGACACGTACACAGTGCTCGTGGAGGCCCAGGATGCAGGTATGGCCAGGTAGCTGTGGGGGCCTCTGGGAGGGAGCACAAACCTCAGACAGACAGATGGGCAGGACTGAGCTTCCTCCCTGAGACCCTGGCAGGCACCTACCCAGTCCCAGGCAGGAGAGAGGGACAAGGAGCTGGGTCCAGTGTCCCTCTCTTGGTCTTTCCTCAGGTGGGTAGGCCTGGCCTCTGCTTCCCCTCTCCAACCACCCTCCTAGCTGGACACTTGAAATCCCCCAGCACTGCCCCTTTGCCCCTGGAGCGCTTCTCAGGGTGTTGGCTTCAGGGACAGGCTGGGGGCAGAGAGTACAGGGCTGGAACCAGGAGGTAGAAGAAGGACCAGGGGCTGCATCTGGGACAAGACTGCTGGGAGATGAGCTGAATGGGGACAGTGAGGCCAGGTGTGGAGGACTCTGAATGCTGCTCTGCCAGGATGAAGAGCTGGCTCGGGGCTGAGTATGCTGGGTAGGCAGGTTTCGGCTCTGAGCTGAGCTGTCCTGTGTTACAGGGCAGACTCAGCACGGTGAGCCCCTCTACAGCCAGGGCAGTTCTGCATTGCTGGGCCCTGGCATCAGCAGTAGGGGTGGTGGCAAGGGCAAGTTTGGCATCCAGAAAAGCGCAGGTGGGCCCAGCAGCTGTTCAGATAATTAAGAAGTAAAGTGCATTGTGAGGAAGAGACCAGCATGGGGTTGAAAATGGGATGGAGAGAAGGGGCTGGATGTCAGGGGCACCAGCAAGGTGACACCAATGGACTGTGGGGAGAGGGATCAGCCCAAGGACCCTGGAGCTCACCCCCACCCCTGACAACGCCCAGGCCAGCTCTGCATTGCTTCCTCTGCAGATGAGCCAAGACTGAGCACCTCTGCAACCCTCATGATTCACTTCCTGAAGGCCCCTCCTGTCCCTGCCCTGACTCTGGCCCCTGTGCCCTCCCGACACCTCTGTACGCCCCGCCAGGACCACGGCATCATTGTCAGCTGGCCCAGTGAAGACCCTGACCTGACTAGTGGGCCCAGTCCCTACAGCTTTTCCCTTGGTCCCAACCCCACAGTGCAGCGGGATTGGCGCCTCCAGCCTCTCAATGGTGTGTGGTGGGGGAAGGGAGGGAGGCTGTGGCCAAAGCAGGGAGGGGGTGTCACTTGGAAGTGAAATGCCCTTCTATGGTGGGGGTTGGGCTGGACCTAGAGGGAGCAACCTCCAGAGGGCCTGTTCAGACTGGTGACCCTGATCATTGCCTGCGGTCCCAACAGGTTCCCATGCCTACCTCACTCTGGCCCTGCATTGGGTAGAACCACGTGAACACGCAGTCCCTGTAGTTGTCAGCCACAATACCCAGAGGTGGCAGCTTCTGGTCCGAGGTGAGGCTGGGGTGTGGGTGCAGCCGAGGTTGGCAGCCTGCAGTTCCTGAGGGAACCACTGGGATGCAGGGGACAGGGCTGGGTATGGTGCACGCAGGCTCACTGAGACAGCACATGCCTGTGCACACTTGCACATGTGCGACCGGGCACACATACCCAGGTGCCCACAGGCACACACACAGAGGAGTATACACCTTCACCACCCTTATCTTCCTCTACCCCTCCCCTCCCCTCCAGTGATCGTGTGTCGCTGCAACGTGGAGGGACAATGCATGCGCAAGGTGGGCCGCATGAAGGGCATGCCCACAAAGCTGTCTGCAGTGGGTATCCTCGTGGGCACCCTGGCAGCCATAGGTAATGGAGGCTGGGCTCCTGTGGGGGGGTGTGCAATGGATGTTTGGAGCCACAGCCTTCCAATAAACAGTGCCCCTTGTACGCATGGTGTCCCAGGTCTGAAAAGGGAATCCCCCAACTCTCACAGTCATCATCATCATTGATAACAGCAATTACTGTTACTTTATCCTATGAAAATGTGACTCTGTCAGTCCCTATGCCAAGCACTTTGTGTGAATTATCGCATGGAATACGCCCCACCGTTGTGAGGTAGATCCTGGTATCTCCCCATTTTGCAGATGTGGCCACTGAGGCTAAGAGAAGTTAAGTGACTTGTCTAAGGCTACACAGCCAAGATGTGACGAGCCCAGGTCTTTCTGGTCTAATTCCTTCACTCTCAGCTACCCTCTCTATCCCTTCTATTTCTTTAGCCTCCTACATTTTTCCTTACTAGTTTTCTTTGCTGGTTCTAGCACAATACTATGATGTACCTTTCTCTTAGAGGTCCATGAGAACAACTCACTGGCTCCCAGGTGACCTCCACCCAAACTGTCCCCCAGAGAAGGGGACAATGGAGGCTGAGGTGTGCTGGGGCAGCCTCAGCGGAGGCGAGGGCCTGGTGAGGGCCATACAGGCCAAGCAGTCAGGCTTCTCCAGGCAACAGCACCACAGAGTTATGTGCAGTCCAGCCTCAGGGATGCTGTCTAGGGAATGTCATCTCTTTATTAAACTAATGCCAATAGCAGGAAGTTCCTAGTGATGGACAAGTTCTGCAGGCCCTTCTGAGGATTGATTCATGCCTTTCGGGCCCCTCAGGCTTCTTCCTCATCCTCATCTTCACCCACCTGGCCCTGGTGAGGAAGAAGGATCTGGATCAGCCAGCGGACAGCGTGCCCCTGAAGGCGGCTGTCTGAATGGTCCCTGAAAGCTCAACTGGGAGTTTGGCCTTTTGTTCCAGCCAAATCCACTGGGAGTGGGCCCAGCACCTGAGATCCAGCAGGGGCTGGGACAGAGTAGAAGCTCCTCCACCTGCCCTGGGGCAAAGTTACCGTCACCGGACATGTCCTGAGAGCCTGATCACTGACTCTATGGGCTGCCTGTGGGAGCACTCCAATGGCAGCATGTTTGTCCAATAATAAAGCCTTAGAGAGCTGGGCTGGGCCCGAAGGGATTGCTGTGCCTGTGTCTGAGTGTCCATGTGCATGTGCGCATGCCTGCCCCTTCATGCCTTTCCCATCTCCTGATGCACAGAAAGGGTCTGGGGGCTTGAGGGACAAGACTGGGGTCCCCTGTGGGGAAGGACATAGGGGCATCATATGGGCTGTTGATAAGATCTTGGGGCCTCAGCAAGGTGGGTCATTTCCTTGGGCATCCAGAGCCCACTGGCTGCAGACCCTGGGTGGGTTAACTCTGTGCAGGTGATTTCAAGGAGGGTTGTCTTTGAGGGTGTCACTTCCATGTTTTCCTGGACATCACCTTTGTTATGGGAGGGCACAACCTTGTGAGTCTGTGTCCTCTGCTCATGTGTGAACACACTTGTGTCCCTGTGTATGAGTCACCTGCACACAGGGTGGGCAGTGGTCCCTCAGTCTCAGGGGGCCTGGGCAGGAATCTTGAGGGCCCCATGGGGCTGGAACAGGAGAGGTGAGGCTGAGGATGTGTCCTTTTGCCCCAGCGCGGGCTTCAGGTCAATTCTGGTTTCACGCACAGGTCGGTGGTCTCATGGAGGCATCTGCAGAAATTCAGGGAAGGGGAGTCACTCAGATGGACACCATTGGGGTGGGACAGGAACCCCTGTGGCTCATCCTGGAGCTGCCCTTGCCCCAGGTGAACCCCTGCCCTTGGCCCAAGATTAAGCCATGGCCCTGGTGCCCTACTGAGCCCTGAGCACACCTCCAGATTGACCTTCAATCCCTGAACCTTGACTGACCCCAGACACATGCTGCTCCTCCATACCCGCTTCCCAGTGGTCTCTGGGGAGCCAGAGTGGGACTTGCTGTCCCAGGCACCCTGAACTGGTGATGGTAAATCACGGGGAAGGGAGAAAAACAACTATGTGAGGCCCAGGCCCTATTTTTAGGAGATAATCTCTTCGCTGCTGGCAGATTCTGTGGGATGGGGCCAAGCCCAGCCAATAGAGAAAGGGCAGGCATCCTAGCCAGTCTGGGGGAGCCTGGGAGACTCAGCCAGGATTCCCAGTCCAGGGGATGCACTCTGAGGCTGGCCCCAGTCATCCTGGGTTCAAGTACCCCCATTGGAGGCTAAGCTGACTATCCTAGCCACAGCAGGGATTCCCTGCTTCTCTGAGATGATCCTCTGCTCAGCCTGTGCCCACTCAGAAGTCTTCAGGGTGTAAAGGTCTTTGGAGGTAGCATCTCATCTAATCTTACCATCAACCTGGAAGGGCAGATTATTGGCCCCATTGTCCAGTGGATCTTGAAGATCAGCGAGGTTAAGGGCTAAAGCAGGGAGTCTTGGAACCAGGGCACAAGATGGAACTGTTTGGCTGAGGTCCATGTTACCTCTCTAGAAGTGTCCATGGCCTGGTCTGTGCTCCCACAAGGTCCCCCAGAAGGGCTTAGAGATCAGCCAGGTCAGCTCCTTCTTGCAAAGGTGGGAAGGTGAATTGCAAAGAGACTGGGGGACCTTCTTAGGTTCATACAGCCAGTGAGATGCAGCACCTGAGCTGGAGAAACCCTGCTCTCTGGGTCCTTGTTCTAGCAGTGTGGAGAGGTAGATAGGTGGGTAGATGGATGGGAAGGTAGATGGGTGGATGGACGAATTGATGGGTAGATAGATGGGTGGGTTGGTGAGCAGGTGGGTGGGGCACCAACAAAGCAAGCAACTTAAGGCGTCTGCCCCAGTTTGAGGGCTTCATCCTTGGGCTCCAGGCCCCAGGTCACTCCTTGGTTGTGTCAGTGCTGCAGCTGACTACAAGCCCCTTCCCTGGGGACAAGGGTTCAGTTTCCTTGATCATCTGTGGATATAAACCTCTCCTGTGATCCTCAGCACCATTCTATAGAGGAACGTGAGTATCAGAGAAGGAGCGTGGCTTGTCCTGGGTCACGTGCTTGCAGTCAGTGCTTGCAAGGATTCATGCTAGTGAGGCCTGTCCTCACCCTGCAGGCAGGGCCTAGACCCTGCTGGGGAAGGTGGGGCATAACCAGTGGCTCAGTATGTGTAAAAGAGCATGTGATCCATGTTCTGCTTATCTCTGCTGTGTGTTTCCAGGTAAACTGCTTTACCACTCTGAGCCTCAGTTTACTTGTTGAAAAAATGGGCCTCACATCATGAAGTTTTGGAGAGGACTACATGAGATAATTCCCGGAAAACACATTTAGCACGGTGCCAGGCATACTGTAGGAGCTCAGTAAATGTGGCTTTCCCCAGTCCATGGATCATTGGGGCACTTACTATAGATGCTTGAAGTCCCACACTTATTCCCTGGAGACCCTATGAAACCCAGGCTTTGGGGAGAAAGTATGGAGAGGGGCCCTATCTGACCTGGCTGGATGACTCAGGGCAAGCTCCCCGTTCCAGCCCAGCACCTAGGCTCTCTGCTTCTGTGATGTTGAGGGGTCTCACAGGACTGTGACTGGTATGGAGCTGGAAGGGGTTGAGGGGTCAGCCCCAGAGGGGCCCTCATGAGCTCCCTCTCCCAGGCCCCTTCCAGAGGCACAGAGCCAGATCAAAGGGACTAAGCACTGAAGATGGGGAGGCGGACTTGGAAAGAATGTAAACATGAGGATATTTTTAAACTTTTTCCAGCCCCAGTGATTAGGGCTCTTGAAGCAAGAGGCCCAGAGGTCACCCACAAAGAAAAAGTCTTGGGACTTCAGAGACCCCTCCCACCCACACCTAACAACACCTACCCCAGGACTCTAGCTCGGGCTTCAGGAACGACCTCCAGATGTCCTGCAGCAGCAATGATGACGTTTCTAATGAGAAGGCCTCAGAGATGTGGAGGATCCCAAAGGATTGCAGGGGCTATGGGGCCTGCCTGGTAGGGCTAGCATTGGGATACTGAGCTCAGGAGACCACTCGGCTGCCCTGTCACTCTATCAGGTGTGTGTCTGTCAGTGTGTATGTGTATGCTGCTGTTCGGTCTGGGTGATGCCTGTGTCAGAATGTGTGTGAGCGTGTGAGGGGCTTGCCTTAGCCCATGGCTTCCTTCCCTCCCCTAGCATCCCTCTCCTCTGCCCTGGGATCCCTTGGGTAGATGCATACATGGGGGGCAGGCCTGAGGGTGAAAAGGAAGAGTTGCCTGTGAACAGGGGAGAGATGAGGAAAGAGAGGGGGCTGGAGTAGGGGTAGGGCAAGGAGGCTGGGGGTGGTGGCACTGGGTCTAGGTCCATGCAGTGAGTCAGGCTGTGACAGCTGCAGGGGCCACTAACATGGGACTGGATGACTTGGCTCCCTTGATTACCCCCAGGTGTTGCACAGACTCAGAAACTTGGAGACAAGGCTCCCTGGATCTGCCCTCTTCCTCTGTGTGCCATGACAACAACCTTCGGAGTGACGCAGCCACCCTCACTCACTTGCTGGAGCATCACAGGGAGATTCATGAGGGGACTCAGCCACAATATGCCCCCTACACATCCTGTAATCATATCCCAGGAACCCCTACACATGGAACATAGGAATCCTCGCCCCATCCACATCCCATTGACCAGAAAGCAGAGTGAGTGTTCACAGGGACATTCAGAAGCCAGGCCAGGCTGTGGTTACCAGTACAATGAGGGGCCCCCACCCTAGGAGAGGCCTCGGCTGGCTGTTTCCCATGCTTTAAGGGGCTGCTGTGCCACCTTGCCTTGCTTATGGGCCCAGGGAAGGACAGCGCCCAGCTCCAGGTCACACAGCTCCTCAGTGGAGGACGGGGCTCAGGCTCCAGGACAGGATCAACAGAATGGTGTGATCCCCTTCAGATCCCCTCTGTTGAGGCAGCAGGGGCAGGGGATATGGCTTGGAGCTTTACCAAAAGGGGGGGTGGACTTTGGACCCAGCATTGTAGAGGGCCAGATGTGGCTGGAACTGATAGGGAGGGGGACCTTCAGACTTGTCCTCAATCTAAGGGCTGGAGCTGCGCACTTAAAGACATTGCAATGTTGTCCCAAGTTATTGGCACCCCTGTGAATACCCACTCATTGGGGTTGCTGCTATTCTTACCCACGTGGTGGCGGCAGGAGGGTCAGAGATAGTGGCTGAATGGGAGGGAGTCATGAGCACCAGCCCCTTATCTGACACATTCCCTGGAAACTTGGCAGGGGCTGCCAGCCTCTGGGGGCCCAGAAAGGGCTCGGGATAAGGTGGTCACAGGGATGGGGTGATGGACTGGGCTCACTGTGGATGAGACTCCACTCCAGCTGTCTTTCCTACAGCCAGGAAAGGTCCCATAGGAACTGGCCAGGGGTTTCTAGTGAGATTTCATCCTAGGTGGTCATTAGGAGCACAAGTCACTTTCAGTTCCTCCCCAGCCCACCCTAGAATATACCACCGTTGTTCCCATCTCCAGCTTTTGATGCTCCAGAGGACATGTTGGCTTCCTCAGTGAAGGGGCTGCCTCTGCGGGAGAGCACTGGGCTGTGAGCCACAGGGGCTCCATCTGGCCACTGTCCAGCCCACTTCCTAGCTGTGTGAACTTGGACAAGTCACTTCCCTCCTCTGAGCTTCAGTTTCCTCACCCCTTTCCCAGGCTGTTGTAGGGATGACAGGGTTCAACAGTCAGGAAGGTGGGCTAAGGGCTGCAAATTGTGTGTGTGTGTGTGCATGCGTGTGCACACGCACACTCAGGGGTAGGGGGACAGGATGGTGAGAGGGAGGCACATGGGTCCGCCACCTTGGCAACTCCCACCCCACGGATTTTCCATTGGCACGTCAGCACCCTGTCCCCCAAAATAGGCCCTATGAGCCGTGTGGGACAGAGCCCAGACCGAGGGTCCTTTTTTTAGCTGCCCTTTGATTGTCAGCTCTCGAGTGGCTGCTATTTCAAGCCCCAGCGCCTAGAGGAGTAGGGCCAAGTGGAGCACCGCTGGCGGAAAGAGCACAGACACATTGGGCCCGAGGGCTCATCTGTCCACCTCCAGGGAGGCTGATGACCTGGCAAAAGCCAGCCACGTCTATAGAGCTCACCCCCCAGCAAAGAGCACACTGCGGAGATTAACTGAGATAACA